TTTATATTATATTCTTCGAATTTGTAAGGGAATATTAACGATTAGAAAAGTTTCCGAATTGGAATTAGTTTCTGAATCTCGATTAGAACTTTGTCTACTAGTGATCAATACTAAAGGAATACTGCTTCGTTATCGTCTGCCAAAATTTCGCTTCTTAAAATATTATACTTTAAATTCCTAATTCTACTGAAACTATATTATTATCATTATTATTATTATTATTATCATAATCATTATTATCATCATCATCATTATTATCATCTTCATTATCATCATCATCAATTATCATCATCATTTTTATCATCATCATCATCATCATCATCATCATTATTATCATCATCATTATCATCATCATCATTACCATCATCATCATTACCATTATCATCGTTATCATCATCATCATCATTACCATCACCATCATTACCATCATCATCATTACCATTATCATCATTACCATCATCATCATCATCATTATTATCATCATCATTTTTATCATCATCATTATTATCATCATCACTATTATTATTATTATTATTATTATACTATTATTTGAAACGATAGATTCTCTTAGATTTTAGCCATTTAACATCAAGTTTATATATATGTGTGTGTAAAATTATTGAAAATTAATTTTTTTCGCAGTCTTAAAGAGCTGATTTTGGATCGTAATGGGATCAAGGAGCTACCGCACGAGCTCGTGCAGCTGAAGAAGTTGAGAAACATTTCCCTGGCTGGAAATTGCCTCAGCAGCTTGCCGTCTTTCTTCAACATGCGAGCCCTCGCGCTAACGGTACGTCGGACGCGTTTTCGAACGAAATTATCAAACCGTTTTGCAATTCAAAAATCCGCGAGGCAAACGCCGCGGAACGATGAGGCAACAAACGCGTTGTGCAAAGGATGTAATATTCCAGGCTAACGAATCGAGCAATTATTCCGATTAATTAATCGGAGAGAAAAGGATCGATCGGGAAACACGCTCTAGAAATCTAATCTCGGTGTGCTGAGAAAGATGCTCGCCGAAGTTTTTTAATGAATATTTCAGACAACATTGCATCGAAAGTAAATAATGTTATATTGAACACTCTTGCTTCGGTGTCTTTAAATGAAAAAAGATGACACGGAATATTTGTCAAAGGAAATATCTGCACAAACAGGGACTGGCAGCAGAAAAATATTGATAATGTCTCTTTGAAAAATTTATTTAACCAAGAATAACAACAGGTGTTCTCGATTGTTTTCGATAATACGTAAATTGACATAAAAATTCTTAAGTTTTTCGACAAACTTACCTTACTCGTCATCTGATAATGATAGAGCTTAATTAAATAAACCAAAAAAAATGAAAAATATAAATTTTAGCGACATTAAGAATTGAAAAAATTTTGCAGGTGAAAATTATACTTTAAATTGATTGTGTTTAAACGTCGTTAGCATTCAAACACTAACCTAAAAATTTATTTTATTAAAGATAACGACCCAGCTTAGAAAAGCTGGGTACACAAAAAATTGTCTCATAGACTCATCAATTGTTCCCCTCCACGGAAATCTTTAGTAAAAGGCGAAAGATTTATACGTGATTTGAAGGGAAACCAGAGTAACGAACGAATCCTTCACTCAGTATTATGTACACTTCTAAACATATTTTAACTTCGAGAAATTTGATCAGCTACGTAGCCACCTAGCGACCAACTGAGGTACTGGCATGTACTCACGCATGCGCGTGCGAAATTTGAAATAACATTTACATTATACATTTAGAATATTTTGTAAATTAGAAATATTTAGAATCGTTAAGTTGTATTTAATTGGAAATGTTTAAAATAATTTATATTATTCTTTTTAGGACGTTTTGACGAAAACAGACCACAGCAAGGGCTGTAAAGATGACAAGAATAATCAGAATTTGTATAAGGTCAACTTGCGAAATAATCAACTGAAAGGAAACATCATACTTGGAAATTACGGAGTAGGTATCCTCATATATATATATATATATATATAAGCACAATATATATATACATACGTAAGACTCTTAGGCATAACGATTAATGACTTACGTTACCATTTCTATTTCTTCTTTAATCAAGAATTTAACGCATCTAGACGTCAGTGAAAATAGCATTGAGAAATTGGACATCAGTGCTCTTCAAGAATTGAGGAGCGTTCGTTGCGCGCGAAATATTTTAACAGAGCTGACGGTCTGTGGGAGAAATATCGTGTCTCTTATTGCCGGAAACAACAGTAAGACTCCTTCTTAGTCTCTTACTTTACACGCGTAATGGAAGACAATGTGTATTTGAGAAAAATGAGAGATAATGTATATTTGTACTTTGCAGAATTAAAGAAGCTGACTATCGAGCCAGTGCCTGTGAATCTTGAACATCTAGACGTTTCCTAGTAAGTAACAGTGAAATACTAACAATAATAAAACAATATCTTTAAGAATTTAACTTTTAATAGAATTGTAAACTGAGAATGAACCAGAAAGGAAAAAACACAGCAGCTATAACTCTTAATTAATATTATTGAACATTGAGAATTATACAAATGTTGTGCTTCAAATTACTGAAGTAGCAACATTTGTAATTTATTGCTGCTTAAGGTTGAGACTACACAAGTGGTACTACACAAAGTTAAATACTAAAATTAAATCAGTTAAGATTAAGTTGAAACTAAATACTAAAAATTTTGGCAATCAAACATAACTTGCTACAGTCACTTGAAGTGATTACAAATATACAACTGTGGTAATTTCTTTTATTTTTAGCAACAATTTAGATGCACTGCCCGAATGGATACCGGATCTACCCTTGTTGCGCGCACTTTTTGCATCTCACAACGCTTTAACAGCCCTACCAGACAGACTGTTGACGCAACCGTCGAGACTGGAAGTCCTTCACCTACCCCATAATAGGCTACAAGCTCTTCCACCACCCAGGAAACCACTAAACATCGTTCACTTGACGCTGCAAGACAATGCACTGACAGCATTGCCAACGAGTTTCTTCCTCAACACGGAAAAGTACATGAATTATTTCACTGTGCTAGGCATATATTCTGATGAAATATCTACACGAACTGTCCATTTGTAGGATGAAAGTATTGAATCTCTCGAATAATCGACTGTCCGAGCTCCCGCACTTGGCAGAAGGAAATAAAAATCGTCACACTAATCACAATTTGGAGAAACTGTATCTGACTGCGAATTGCTTGACAGACACCGCTTTGGACACACTTGCCAAATTGACTTCATTGAGGGTTCTTCATGTAGCCTATAATACTTTGGATACACTTCCGGAAAGGTAGAAAAGTTGTGAGCTTTCATTTGTGTTTGGAGTGTTCAATGTTTTACGATTGAAAAACTATTGATTGCAGTTGTATAGCTTCATGGAGAGACCTAGAAGAATTAGTACTATCTGGGAATCGTCTTCAATACTTGCCCGATAACGTGGCCAATTTACGGCATTTGGGCGTGTTGCGTGTCCACTCCAATCGGCTTCTAACTTGCCCGACGTTTAACAAAACAGCATCGTTGAAGGTAACTTTGTTCGCATGGACTTGATCTTAACTTTAGCTTTAATTTTGTACAGTCTATTCCGTTGTCGATATCACCTCTTAATGCTTCTGAATGTCATATCAATTAAATAATTGTACTTTATGCAGGTATTAGATTTAGCTCATAACCATCTGGACAGGGTGAACTTGGCCACTCTAGTGCCACCACAACTTCAATTTCTCGACATATCGTGCAATTCGAGACTCCACGTGGACCCCAGACAATTCCAGGTCTATAGATCGCAACGACCAATATCCTTGGTTGATGTGTCTGGACAAAATAGACCGAGTTTACCTTCTCATCCTCATCAGCAGGAAATCGTTTCCGCGGAAAAGGGATTGGAACAGCCATGGAGATTGGGTTTTTCAGAAACTGCTGGATCCAGAGAAAGGTACAAGAAGCATCTGTGCAAATATTTATCATTTCCAATTTTTACTTAGCATGTTCAAGACGGCGTCGGTCCGTAGGGACCGACGCCTCGTTGTTCGTTTGGTTGTCGTCGGTCCCGCGGGACCGACACTTGCGATATTCGTTTGGCCGGTGTCGGACACTTTAGTGGACACTTTATCGAGTCTGAGAAATGCACTTGATTTTCATTAATATAAAAAATACACGTGAAAGAAACTATAATTTATATAAAAATTCGACTTCATCTCGAAC